CCTGTGCTTATCCCCTGGACACAGACGCCAGCCTGAATGTAGCTATCAGGCCAGACCTGTAAGTTCATTGAATTTAACTGCAGCATCACTTAGTATATGTAGCTCTAAAATTCAGGGCTCTCATGTGCATAATAGTATAGTTATTACCCCACTCTTTTCAATCATTCTGTTACCAAACTGCAATAATTAAGATGAATCTTGTTTACTTTGTGTGTTTCTTTTAACCATTTATGAGAGAGTAAGCATGCATTACTGTGGGCTGTTTGTAATTTAACATGACCACTGAAAGTCATTTTCAGATCCTTCATGCATAAACTTAAGTGCTTTTAGTTGTGAGGCTACGTTCCAAACAACGTTACAGTTTGTTTAGAAAGCTCCACATTAAGTTGTTTACTCAATCCAGTTAACAGTTTGCTGCCTAGTTGTAGTTTAAAGATATGTTTTGTAATTATTCAATGCAGAATTTAACAAACATTTACCACCAGGAGGCAGCGTTTTACCAGTGCGGATGTCTTTTTAGTCGCACAATTTCGTCAAGAGACTTTGCCTTTTGCTCAAAATAAATATATATCTTGGACTTTATAAAATAAAGTTTATAAAATTAAATAAACAGTCTTCTTTCCAGTCAGAAAGGGAGATTTGTCAGTTAACATAACAAAAACATGTTTACTGGATTAAAACTCTAGTGTAAAATTGAATCAGCTATATAATCTGTTATTTAGACAGTGCTTTTTCACTTGTTCAACTACTTGAATCTATGCACTTGAAGCACTTTTTATCTGCACATGCTCACATACCAATGGATGCATGTTTAGCACCATCTCCAAAGACATTTCCAGCATATGGTCTGGAGGAGCTGGGGCTCGAACCATCAGACTTTTGAAGAAAACAAATCCAAAGCTGTCTACTTACACAAACCAGGAAAAAGACAGAATAGCAGCAAGTAGTGTCTGAGAGATCCTTGCATTATATAATTTTCTTTCCCTTTGTCAGGTTCACTGGAGGAATTTCAGGTTCGGGTCCAAAAGCTCGAGCCTCCATGTCTCTGTTCCGCAACTCCAACTACACTGAGTCTTATCCACCAGGCCAAGTCTTCCTCCCAGTGGGTTCACCTCTGTACGTGGGCGTCTCTGTGGAGGACACAGACCCAGTTTTGGCAGCTGTTCTGGAGGACTGCTACGCCACTCACTCACCAAACCCTGATGATCCCACACAATATCCTCTCATCCAGAACAAGTATGTGCATCTCTCCAACCTCACCAATGCTTTGTGAGATACAGTGAATTGTGTGGACCCTGCTGATCTCCTCCCTCCTCTCTCACAGGTGTCCCACTGACCCCCAAAAGGTGTCAATAGTTGAAAGCGGCTCATCCCTCCGAGCTCGTTTCTCTGCTCTGCTCTTCCTGCTCCAGGGTGAATACAGAGACATTTATCTTCACTGCAGCCTCAGCCTGTGTAACCAGAGGAACTACAACTGTGTACCAGTGAGTTCCACATTTCATTTAGCAGTACTCCATAATCCAAAATGGTTTCTCTGGTTTAAATCCTATATCTCTTTTCTCATTCTTTTGCCCTTTGTAGTCGTGCACAAGTAGGGCACGTCGCTCTGTTTCCAACTCAGCTTTTATGAATCCCGTCACCATTGGACCAATTACTTGTGAGTATGAATTAAAACCTGGATTCAGAGCTCATGTCTTGACATAGTGACTTATATTAAACTAATAACTGCCATATCAACTTTTTCTTCTTCTTCTTTATTTTTAGTGGACAAGCCAGCTGAGTGATCTGGAACATCCGATAACATTCTGTAGTGTGATATTAACTGCCAGAACTCTGTTTCCACAAGAGAGATGATTTAAATATGATATATTCTCAAATATTTTACACATATTTTTTGATATTATGTTCCATTTGGGCTTTTTTTCATTGTATGACTGCAAACTGTCCAAATAAGGTATGCATCCTATTTGTAAAAACTGTACCTTGATGCTGGAATGTGAAACCAACTGGGTGATAAACTGCAAAGCCACCAAGTATCACAGTTCACACACTCTAATCATACCCATTAGATTTCATTGCACCGTATGAAAATTGCAGAGAAGGTATTAATTCAAGGTGGCACGGTGGTTAGCACTGTTGCCACACAGCAAGAAGGTCCTGAGTTCAATTCCAACATCAGGCCGGGGTCTTTCTGTGTGGAGTCTGCATGTTCTCCCCGTGTTTGCGTGGGTTCCCTCCGGGTACTCCGGCTTCCTTCCTGGGGCATGAGACAGAATAAAGACATGCCGTGGAAGAGAGCCAGAGATTAATAATTTCTAATAACTGAATTCAGAGAGGTCTATAAACACATGGTGAGTGGAAAAGGTGACTGGAGAAGAAACTAAATGTATCATGGGAATCCCCCAGCAGCCTAAACCTAATGCAGCATAACTCTAAGGATTCTGAGTCACCCTATCCAGGCCTAACTATATGCTTCATTAAAAAGGACAGTTTTAAGCCTAATCTTGAAAATACAGACGGTTTCTTTCTCTCGAGTCCGAACTGGATGTTTGTTCTACAGAAGAAGGACATGAAAGCTGAAGGCTCTGCCTGCCATTCTACTTTTAAATACTCTAGGAACCACAATAAAGCCTGTAGTCTGAGAGTGAAGTGCTTTAATGGGGGTGATTCAATACTACAAAATCATTATGATAAGATGGGGCCCGATTATTCTAGACCTTGTGTGTAAGGAAGAGGATTTTAAATCTGATTCTGGATTTAACAGGAAGCCAGTGAAGAGAAACATATCGGAGAAATCTGCTCTCTTTCTAGTCTGTGTCAGTACTCTTGCTGCAGTATTTTCGATCAGCTGAAGGGTTTTCAGGGAATTTTTAGGACATCCTGATAATGAATTACAGTAGTCCAGCCTAGAAGTAATAAATGCTGCCATTTCTTCTTTTTGTTTTAGGGGATAAATCAGCTCGGTGAGCTTGTAACATCCTGTAATATCAGAAAGACTTTCTATCATGTAATTAAATCCTTTTTTCAAATTCATTCTATATGATTTAATCAAACTGATGTTACATTGTAGAATTTAATGTTATTTCATATGTTATATGCTAAGTACATTATATCCAACCTTATTATTATATTCACAAAACATTTTCTTTATTACTGGAACTAATATAATCTTTTTGGAAAAAAAAAAACTGGATTCCTCTCTGGGTTGGTTTACTGATTTTTCCATATTTTGATAAACTGCCATTAAATTTGGGATGGGTATCAACAGTCAAAGAAGGAGGATTTGAATGACTTTGGTTAACAGATGACTTTTCCTCTGGCGTCACCATGAGGTTGTCATTTGTATTACATGATGAAAATCAGGTCTGTAAGCTTTTGGACAATGACTGTTTCTGTGATCTTTCCTCTGTACACTGCAACACTGAATTTTCTAGATATGAGTGAAGTGCAGATTCCAGCTTGAATTGAGATTTTTTACAAAAGTACTGCATTAACATCTTGACTTAAAAACATATAGCAAGATAATGAAGAGTTCACGAGTGGTCAAATAAAGAAGGAGTATGATCCAGAGTATACCACATCACCAGGTAATGTCATGGCCTTGGCACGTATGGTTAAGAATAGAAACAAGTTAACTTTGTGTTTACTGATGATGTGACTCCTGGTGATGTGTATGTGATTTTACTTTCTGCTCAGATTAAGCAAAATACTGCAAGAATTTCTAAAGGCAACGAAATAGGATATTCTTCAATAGACACGTCAGTCACCTGATCTGAACCCTAGTAGACCATGGTTTACAGTTACTGAAGAAAGCCTGAAGGCAGAAAGACTCACAAACAAGTAACAACTGAAGATGGGCTCAATAAAAGCCTGTAAGAGCATCTCAGAGGAGGAACCACAGCATTTGGTGATGTCAATGGGTTCTAAACTACAGATAGTGATTGACAGCCTGTAGGCAAGGATCCTCTTGCATAATTAAAGTTATGTTGGTTTTTCCGGTTAATTTTGAAGTCAAAGCAAATCTTACCAAAATACAGACAGATAAGTTATAAAAGACTCACCCACTACACATTTATTATGAAGCCCAAAATAAAGCCCAACACCATTTTACACAGGGCTCTAAACATACTTTTGGTTTGGCCTTTTTTACCGTGGAAGTCTGTGGGGACTGATTTGTTTTTCAAGCCATCCTGAAGTTACTCCAGGAACTACAATTTTTGGCATTTCCGTGTTGGCTCAACTTTTAGCCCTCGATTACAATGCAAAACAGTTATCAGATAATAGCTAGACCAAGTTTTCATGCAGTGACAATGTTCATGAGATATCACCTTCATAGCGATACAGTACTAACACTAGAACTGTGCTTACTGTTTTAATAGTGCTGAACTAGTCACTTACTAGCCAGTTTGATGTCACCCAGTTGTTAGTATGATCCTATTCTATCCTATCCTACACAACAGGACCATCTTATTGTATGGTCCTATTGCAAGCACTCGAGGTGAGCATTTTTGCCACTTCCAACTTAGTGATTTGAAAGTGGATATGATGAGCGATGTGTGGATGAGTACTGTGAAACTACACACCCAGGGAGCAGATCTTGTATAATCCTGTCAGACTTTTTGAGTGACCATCATTTGCAATTCAAACAGACTTAATTTTCAGTTCAGTATGACTGGAAAGTATCAACTAAGCTCATAAACTCATTGGGAAAGTGTTTACTGAGGTCACAGATTAAGTGAGCCCTGGACCATTTTCCCATGTTCGTCTATACAAGTCTTTCTGAAACCACATGAGTCGCCCCCTGGTGGTATTAAAAGGAAGGCAACAGTTAGCACACTTTCACCTTGGCTTGGCTTTTCAGATCTGGAAGTTATGTCCATCTTTCATGCTATTGTGTAGGCACTAAAGTAAAAATCCCTGAATTACACCCTGCTGTTGCTACACTGGATGTCTCCAACAAAACACTAGATTTGTGTTCAGTGAGCCATTTACCCTCACTTATTTTATTTTCACGTATTTTATTGTAGATATGGCTATCACACTGGTGGACGTTAAGTGATGTGATAAATGTTGTGGCTGAAGGTCACAGGATACCCTCGAGATTTGCTCTCTAGGAAACTAATAATAATGGTTAATGTTTTCAGGGGCGTGTCTCCGAGTTTACTTTTTGATTGACGGGTCTAGAGTCCAATCCAGTGCCTCATTGGCACAGCGGGGGCGGGGCACTGACGAGTGGACGATGTTTCCCCTCTCGGGTTTAGTTTGGAGCCGTTAGGGGTAAATTTCCTCTCGCTCGGTGGTGGCAGTTTATAAGAAACAGCCTTCAACGTGTCTTTACCGACAGCCGTCGCCATGTCTAACAACAATGCCAACAACAACTTAATTATCGCCCAGAGAGCTGTGAAGCAGCTCCGGTTCGAGGCCAGTATCCGGAGGATCAAGGTACGAACGAACCCCTGCTACACTCACACACAAACACGGAAGACTGAGCTGTTCTTGCTGCTGAATGGCGGAGACCGACCGTAGAAGTGACGCTGTGTCCGTAGATTCAACAAAGTTGTCCACACTAAGTTACACTTAAGACTCACAGATTGCTTTCTGGTAGTTTAAATCGCAGCTACAAGCGAACAAGTTTCTTCTGCTTTTTAGTTTGTTTTAGAAAGTCGCTATAAAGTGTCAGGAGAAGTGACCCGTTTATGGAATTTCTGAAAGTTAAACCTCCCTGGGTTGGTTATCTTAAGGAGACTGTGAGCATAATCTGTCAAAGATACACAGCAGACACACCCGTTCGTGTACGGAACTGTTCCTTGCAAATGTTATGCAAAAAAAATGAGCCAGTTAGTCATGTAAATGAGAGAGTGGGTAGTACAAAGGGTTGCAGCAGGAATCACAAATACTCTGTTTTTGTTTTCATGATCCCCCACCCAACACACACACACACACACACACTCGTGTGTCTGGCTGTGCAGGTGTCCCAGGCTGCCGCAGATCTGAAAAACTTCTGTATGCAAAACGCCTCCAAGGATCCTCTCCTGATGGGCGTCCCCTCCAGTGATAATCCCTTCAGACCCCCCAAGTCCTGCTCCCTGTTCTGAGGTAGGCTTGCTTGCTCCTTCATGGAGGTTTCATTTGGTGGGGGTATAAAAGTGTATATTTAATTAAACTAGGGCGAAAGAAATGCAGGGTTTTAACTGGGTCATAATGGACATTTTTCAGAATCAAAATCAAATTCTGATTCTGAAAAATGTCCATTATGACCCAGTTAAAACCCTGCATTTTGGGGGGCATTTATAATGGACATAATGGACATTTTTAGGGGGTTAATACATATGGGTCACACATAGTTGAAGTAGATGGTATCAAATAATGTAGTGTTACCTTAAAGTACATTCCTGATATTTGATTTAAAAAAAAAATGTAAATAAAATTAGTTGTAGTTTAAAATTGTCAAGCGGTGCATAGCTCCTCTGCTCAAGGAATGCATTTTATACATGTCGAGCTACCTTGCTAACACATCTCTTTTGGAGGAAGGTTCAGAGCCTTTACAACAACATCACAAGGAAGCTGTGTGGTAAAGTCACAGCAGTGCAAATTGCATGCATTTGCGCTGCATTGCCACTGGAATTTGCATGTATTCAGTTGGTGACTCCAAAAATGCACAAATGTGTTTCTATGTGTCGCCTTCCTGCAAAGCTTGTTTTACACTGCTTGACCTGAAGCTCACAGGCTAGAGCACCTTTCCGGTCAGTGAACTTAATTTAGCCCACAGAGACTATAAAGGTAACTGGGGAAAATATAAAATCAAACCTACAATTACAGACAGGGAGTGACTTACAAGCCCAAACGTGATGAGTTGAAAGTATGAATGACTTTCAGGGTCTGCTTGGGATTAAAACAGTTTTAACTTTGGTAATATCTCTTAATTAGAGAAGGCATGACTGTCCAAACAAAGCTCTGAGTCAAACATCACATCCAGATTGGTAGCAAAGTCCTCAATGTAGGAGAACCGGTTTCCATGATTGTTTTCCAAGCTTCAGGTCAGGTTTGTGGAAATGAACAAAAGGACCTCAGATTTGGAATCACTCAACCAAAGTTTTGTGACATCCAACATCTAACGTCATAGAGACAAGTCTTAGCGGCATCCAATGTCGCAACTTTGGGCACGTGATTGAAAAGCTTTTTTTTTTTTTTCTCCCACAGGCCTGTTTGTTCTTTTTCATGTTATCAAAAACAGCTTTAATTTTACAGTTTTATTTTACATACACACACACACACACAAATTTAACTAAAGCTTAAACTAACTTAATTAAAGCTTTAATTACAAACATGAAGGACTCTAGCTTTTCATGCTAGGAGTTACTGAGGTTAGCTGCCTTCAGCCTGCAGCAAAGTTTACAAGAAATCTGATGAATTTAAAGATACCACGGTAAACAGTGGCATCTCACTGTTCATCCTGTGCCTGTATAGGATTACTGCAAGTAGTCAGTTGTCCTGATGGTGTGCATGTATTTGGACTGGTTTTAATTGGTTCTAAATAAAAGAAAGGCTGGAGATCAGGTGGTTTGATTAAGGCTGTGAGGGTTTTCATTGTAATTATGATTGTAATTACAATTGTAATTGTTTTCAGACTTTTAGTTGAGATAAAAAGAGGCTAGTTGGGCTGGTCGTATTATACGCACATGTGCCCCTAAATATGTTTCACAGTCCAAATTTTTCTATTGTTGGTAAAAGTGAATTGATCATGCTGTTGAGCACTACTACAAACACTAGGGTTGCTCCACCCAGCCTTTGGGGCAAATAGGCTAGAATATAAACAGAATATGAACAGGCCGGGGCGGCTTTTTTTTACTCGTCCTCGCCCTTCAAAAGATTTTTGTATTTGCATATAGCTGCGTGTCATCAGCAGAACAGTGGAAATTAACAGTATATTTACACATTATCTGACCCTACAGAAGCAAATGGAAAGAATAAAAATGGGACAAAAAAAACACATTAAGTTCAGTTTTATTTCTTTATCGACATATGTGAGTACATCCATTTAAGTGTATACTATCCATCAGTCTTCTTAACAAATTTATCCTGTTTAGGGTCATGAGTGGGGCCTGTTGTAGCTGTGGACAGGTCACCAGTTTATCACAGCGCTAATGCAAAGATGTTCATGCTTGGAGCCAGCCAATGCAGGCACAGAGAGAACATGTAGACTCTATACAGGAGAGCCCCAGCAGGTCAACGGATTAAAACCCCAAATATTTTTGCTGTGAATTGATGGCGCCAGCTGCTGCACCATTGTGCTGACCCGTTTATTTTAATTACAAACATCCAAAAAACATCCATAGAACCATTGTTTTACTGAAATGTTATCATTTGCCCCCATATTTTCTCAAACTTATTTATGTTTTACACAAATGACAATGTCGGCATTGCTTTTTCCACAGTTTCTCCAGCACTAAGAATATAAACCCAGTACAGCTATAATGGAGTTTTCACTTGTCTGTTAAGGTTGGGTGGAGTTTTCCAGGAAATTACATCAGGTTGCCAAGCTGCATGTGCTACTAAGAGCACATGAAATACTTTTACTTGTCACCACAGGAAAAGGCCAAGTGTTGATAATACTTGTAATGATGCCCGTATTTTATTTACGTGTTCCAATAAGGCTACAGTACAAACCACCCAGAACATTACTCCCACACTCAATGCTGTTACACTGTCATTATTTTTTAATTATTTTTGGTATGTACACAAAGCACGATTAAGCATTCAGTAATATTAATTCACTTCCAAGCTTCTTAAACCTAAACCTAACTTTAAACCTAAAAACTTTAAAACATAGGTGGAGCATTTCCCTGTTAAATATGTGAATTAGTTAAGTCACTAATTTTAATATGAAATTTAAAACCAAAGTTAAGTGCTTTTCAATGGAGGCAAATGGACTATGTAGTCTGCAAAAATGTGCAGCAGTGAACCAGCAGTGACAAAACTGAAAACACAAAATACAAAAAAAACCAAACCCATAATTACAAAATAAGAGAATCACATAGACATAATAAAACTAATAAAAGACAAATAAAATCTGCTTTTAAAAATGTCGAAAAAGGAGAAAATAAAAGTAAAAGGTACAATAGTAAAATAATATTTTAAGTAAGAATAAGTAAATAATATTTGAATATTTTATTAAAAATAGTTAAAATTAAAAAGTAGAAAAAACAGATAAGAGATAAACATAGCATACAGTACTTGAAGTGTTGCTTCATTTGTTTCTTAAAGCTTGCTTTATTGTGTGTTACAACAGTGTGTGTGCTTTTGTGTTACACAAAAGGAAGCAATTGACAAAAACTTGTGTTTCTGTGTTATTTCTAACATTTTGAAAAACAAAAATGTGCTTTAAGCAAAACACTGATAAGAACAAAATATTATATCAATGTATGTTTTTCTTTTGACTTGGGCTAAAACGTATTCCACTAAACAGCAAAAACCCTAACGTTGTCTGGCCTGGTCAGATATGCATGTGTTTGAGAGCTGAATGTGAGTTGACTATACAAACAATTAGGAATTTTCCTGACCTTAAGCTTTCCGAGAAAAACCAACAGTGGTGTTGTCATTGCTCTCCTCTGTGATCTTTCTGTTATCTGGCTTCATTTACCCTAACATCATCAGTCAGGCTGAGAGGTCACATGGAGCGTGTTGACACAAACGACCACAAACACAAATAAGTCTGTTTAGCAGCAGAGTGGCTGATTTTGCAAGGATAAAACTGTGATATTAGGAAAATATGAAGAGGTTACACACATAATACAAACTGAGAGCAGCTGAGTGCGTGTCTACTTGTTTAGCAATTTGTTTAAGCACTTTTGTAAGTAAGACCAGAATAAACTTACTTTGTTAATAAAGATTGGCCTATTTGAAGTCAAAAAGGAAAGTTGGCAATAAAACAAAAGATGACTGTGTAAATAAAGCAACAATAGTTGTTTTAGTTAATCCTTTCAGCTGCAGCCAGAGTAAAGAATAAAACATACAAATCAGTGCTCTGGTTTAGGAGCGAGCATTAAGGCTTTTAGAACAATGAAATGTTTTCAAATTGTTTGCAGCCAACAAGGGGGG